GGAGCGTAACGGGGAAAAGTACAGGAGGATTCAGGATCATAGAAGAGTCGCCGTTGCCCACAAGCAGCTGTGGCGAAGACTCCGTCTGGCGGCCTCGGAGGTTTTTTCTGGGGAAGTCAGCCAGAGACGGACAAGTATACGGCACTTCCATCTCGTGGACAGAACAGCCGCAGCCGCAGTCCGGTCAAGCCTTCTCGGGCAGGCACTACGGCAAGCCATCATCCACTGCCGCAGGTCCAAGGCAGATCATGAGTCCAAGATTAGAGGGATCCTTGTGTTTTACGCCATCGATAGGTCAGGAAGTGAGTGGAACGGGTGGTTCGGAGTACGATGACGCTCTTTCGCTGCGCAAAGTGGAGGATATAGTTGAAAAATCCGAAGTCAGAAGAATCTTCGTATTGGAGCCCGGTAATACGGTATTTTCGTCGATCCCATAGATAGTTACTTACACGATCGATTTTCTTGAGATGCTCGAAAGTCAGCAAGGAAACATTAATTAATGGACACACTCACGAACAGTCCGTTTGTCCCAGCGTTGTGTGACTGTCACTGGTAAAGCTTCCAGTAGTTCCTATGAGCCTAGTAAGATAATTGAGAAGGAAAAAAGACGCATATATGCACATCAACGCACCCCGAAGCCAGTACTTCGGCTAGACATCGTCTTCCCACCACGAATAGCACTCTCATGGTTGAGTCTGGCCCTACACATCAGGGTTAAACTGGCAACGATGAGTGCTGATAGGGATGCTGACAGCGACCGACGACCTGCTCCCCAAAGAGAAGTGACGAGCCCTGGCTTCTGCTCCATGACCGTCAACGGGAAATGTAGATATACTGCGCGTACTGGTCTAGATCACAGGGAAATTGTTGGATATCTTGTAGTGAAAGAGGTTTCCATCGCGATGCCCATTGGCAATTCGGTCGTAGTAAGAGAAGTCGGACGACGACTCTCTTACGTATAGCGGGGCCTACATTTCATAACCGAACTCTTCAGTTATCCTGTCATCATCGTATATACAAGGAGCGACGACGAGCACGTACCGAGTCGCCTGTCCTGCTCTCCACCGACCGTTCACGGTGCCGAGTTGCTCATTTCCGGTTCCGCAATGGTCTCGTCATTGTCGGTGTTAGCGGCAGCTACCCTGGAGCGCGTTTGTGGGGTACATAAATTGACATGATGGAAGAAACAAAAGAAGAGATGTCACCGACAGGCAGCACTTTGGGCCGGCAGTGCATGTTCATTCCCACCCACCACCGTCTTTTTCGTTGATGCCTGGCTTTTCGCTGCCGTGGTCGCGCGACGTCAACGACGACGACGAGTCGTCGCCTTGGGAAAGAGGCGTACCGACGCCGCGCTCAACAGTCGGTTTTTTCTACCCACCACCTTCATCTTCTATCCCACCGGTACCGACAGACCTACCCAACAATACTAATACAATATCTTCTTCTAATAACGTCCATGCCGACGCCCACGCTCCTTCACTTCCCCGTAATTCAACTCTCCGAGTGCATGAAAAGGCTGCGCAGGTAACCCAGGGAGTACTACCGCCATCCTGGCTGCCGCCAACGACCATTTTCCAGACATGCATTCTTCTTCTATTCTTTCTGCCCCTCCCACCGCTGTTTTCTACTATATATGCAGCTCTGGGAGGGGCTATTCTCGGTGGGCACGTCCCAGTCAGGTCTTTCGCAGAGGCAGGAGCGACTGGGGGCACTATACTAGCACTACCACTGGCGCTCGCGATTTGGATACTGCTCGCTCCAGAGAAGCAATCCCCCAGAGAGGATTTCTTCGATGACGACGAGCCTCAGACGTGGTGGACTCGTTGGGGAAAATTCGTGCTGTGCGGGTTTATACTAGTCTTTGTCGGCGTTGCCACTTCCTCTGGGCGCCGTTTTGCATCCCGGAAGAGGATAACAGAGACTTGGAAGCAGGCAAAGCAGCATTGGCCGCGCTGGTCGGTGGGATCGTTTTCTGTAGTGCTTTGGGGGTTATCTTTGCTTTGGGGGTTTTGTCGTATTGGCAATACGCGAGGAGAAGAAAATGGTGAGCACTCTCTATTATTCCTGCATATCTTTCTGATTTCGATGCTCAGAGCGCTCAGATTCAGCCATTCTTTATTGTTGTAATCTATTGTACGTGTCTTCTATCCTACCTGCATCCTTCCTGTCCTCTAATTTTCCTTTAGCGTACATATTTAGAGGGATCTGTATTTGCTGCTGTTGTTGTATTGTGGACACTGCTATTTGCTTTGCGTTGACTCCTTGAAACGTGAACCATACATGTCGGCATTTCTCTGTGAAGGGCCGGGGACTGAAACAATTTTTTCGCAAAATGATCTGCTGCCTGTCGAATTCGACCCGGGCCCCCAGCGATGTTCGCAAAACCATAGGGATGGTACATTGACATGGACAAGACGTTCAAGCTAACTTTGGGCAACTCAATACGATCAGTATGATTACGTAGAGCTACGGAGGCGTCACGCGTCACGGGCGATCAAAGCTCTGATTCGGAAAAACCTGGTATCTGAGCACGGGACAATGTGCCGGAATGTTGCGTTGCCGTCATTAGAGAAGAGAAGTACAGAACTTCTTGGAACATTATTCGCTCTGAGAGAAGCGGTGCTTGGACTATATATTGGGAGCACACCACTCCCTCGTTTCTTCAGCGGTCTTGAACGCTATTCCTGGGCCTGATGACTAATTGTGATGAAGAAAAGATGAATGTCGACACCGACTGTCTCAAGGAGATCGCCTCTCAAGGTTCTGGGGTTGGCAGCAGCTGCGCAACGTCGGTTGATGGGAACCGCATCTATGTGAGTCGTGAGAAAAATCATACTAGCAATTTTTGCACTGAAAATTCTCTATCAGGACGCCATCATGGTCAATAGGCATCATGACACTATCTCTGAAGAAGAGGCGCGACGAACTGGATTAATGCACTATTGCATGCCGCTCAGCGGCTTCGACTCGAGCAGCTACTCAGGAAAGGGAACACCTTGCGGGAGGTATTGAACGACTTTCATGTATGATATTATGTCTGGTTCTGTTAGGCACTGTTTGATTCGTTCCTTAGCATGAGTTCGGTGCATTCTTCAACAGGGGAGAGACCTACATGGATTCAGATTCAGAAGAACTTGAAATGAGCGGCAACCACGAGGAAGGTATGCCAGCTCGCGTCGAGGTATGATTACGCTTCTATCCTCGTGTCCTTTCTCATTTCTTCAACAAGGAGAGGCGGGAAAACTTTGAGCTTGATGTTAGCGCTCGATACGAGAGTAAGCACGAGGATGGAAAAATACACTCTCACGGTGACCACGACGTGGTGCGGGAGCAGCCAGATCGGGAGACACGAGTCGGCCGGCCGCTCCTCGACTGTGCTCGAGAGAGTTTACAGCCAGTGAAGCTCAATACCGGCACTCTCGAGGAAGTTGTGGTCACGTACCACGGCATTCGCCCACCTTCGGCTGAAGATTCTGATCCTGTCGAGGCCCAGAAGGTAAACAAATACAAGATGACTTTGTCGTGTCGACACGCGGAGCGCAATGGTGGACAAGCCGATCCCAGACAGGGCCCTGGTTGCGCTCATGGATGGACTACTAGTACAGGGTACCTTCCTGCGCCTTCCCGCAGCATGGACAGACCTATGAACTCCTCTAATTCGAACTTCCTCGCCAATAGACTCAACAAGTCATTCAAAGTGACCCAGCTCAATTGTTGGGCAGGGAAGATCACATGTATAGCATCACTGACGGTGCAGAAGGGGCCTATGAGTTGGTTATTGGACGGGCGTCTGCTGTGGTATTCCGTCCTGCGTCAAACAAGTGCATATACTCTGGATGACCTTACTAAATGCCTGTGCCGCTGGGGAATAAGGTTATCGACATGCAAGCGAGTGCGTGTGCATGACCAGCTGCCCAGAACGTCACTCAGGACATCCGAACCCGTTCCTTACCGTCGGAAGGGCTTTCAACTGACCATGGAGGACTTTGCGAGTTATGTTGAAAGACGGCGACAGCTATTCAGAAACAGCGACGTTGCTCGGGCTGCTCTTAAACATGGAGGTCTCATCTGGCGACTAGCAATGGAGGAAGTATCGGAAGAGTATGTGACATCTGGTCCATCCCCGAGAGTGATGGAAACCGGGGCTTGCCTTCGGACGACGGAGGGCGAGGCACTATGGGATGAAATGTTGATGGATGACCAGATTGATGTCATTTGCGGTGTGTACAAGGTGGAAACAGAGGACGATCGCTACCCTAAGGGTGACCGTCGAGGAAAGCTCACAGAACATGTGTCTTGGTTTCCCAAGGATGCGGGTTGGCGAGGCTGTGGGCTCGATGTGGGCTTTTGGAGTCCTGATGCGGAATCTTGGTATCAACATAGGCTGGCAAATTATCTTGATGGAGACTTCAAATGCAAAAATCAGTCAGAGTGGAAGAGATCATTGAAACTGTGGCGGGATGCCCCCAAACTCGCGGAAGGTCTGGAAAAGGTATCGCAGGGGTTTCTTCAATGCCACGTACTGCGTCTTTGTACGTTGATCGTTCTTATTTGTTCTTTTTCTCGCATGTTCTAACAGCTGTTTAGGATTTTTTCCGACTATTCCACAACCATTCTTGATTGCTGTAATCTACATGTGCACCTCTTACTTTCCGATATGACCTAATTTGATCAGTACGTTTGGTCAGTACGTGTGAGTCTCATTACTTGCCTATTACTCTAGGGTTTAGCGCTAAACTTAGAGTGATTGTGAGTCGTATCGGAGCATTGTGATTTCGTCTAATAATTCAAGCTCCCTGAACTCTTGTCTGACTGCGTTGCTTGCTCGATCTTGTACTTTAGCCGACATGTCACCTGTCCATTTACTGTATGTGCCATCTATCTTACCTGCATCCTTCCTCTAATTTTTTTTCAGCGTACATATTTAGAGGGATCGGTATTCGCTGTTGTTGTTGCATTGTGGACACTGCTATCTGTTTTGCATTGACTCCTTGAAACTTGAACTATACATGTCAGTCCCTCTGAAGGGCCGGGGATAGCCTCACTCAAAATGATCTGCTGCCTTTTTTCACCCGGGACCTCAGCGGTTCAACGTTGCAACGTTAAACGTTCGTAAAACCTTAGAGATGGTACATTGACATTGAAGCCTGCCAGTTACACTGACAGATCGATTTCTCATCGTTCAAGTATCCAACACCAACTTTATCGGTCCGAGATCCCGGTGTAAGTACTCCGGAGTCTAGATCCATCACCTTCGTACCTTTCATCATCATTGTGATTACCGCTTGACCTCCACAATTGTTTATAGATGCCAGATACCTCAAGCTCAGGTGCAAAGACAACAACCGCCCTCTACCATGTCACTATCCTTGACAGAACCAGCCGGGTTCGACAAGTGACTGTAAGCATCTCTCAGGACGCATTGAAAGCTCTTCGGCTCAACCACTTACATCAATAGCTTAAGAGGGGTGGAGGTGCCTTGTTTCTTTAAGGTAAGGGCTTCGTAACAGATCCCGCCCGTATTGTGCTGATGGTTACCTGCAGAAGTCCTATATATGCTCCACCTATCACCGGTCCTTTTTTCATTACGCGTGAAATGCGGATAAGTGTCTGCGGAACACCTGATTACCGACAGCACCCAGGCAGAACTTACAAGGCACGCGCAATTCCTCCAGGGTTCTGTTTCTTTTATTGACGATAATCCAACAGGAAGAAAATGCGAGTTGCGAGATATGAGGGATAAAGCTGGAGGCGGGAAAGTGAAACTAACATCAGCGACCGAAGTACACGAAGCTCGTTCCTACGCGATCGCTATCTCACCTCACTCCAGCAGGTAGAGTTGTCGCATATGAAGGAATTCATCACCTCGGCTTTGAGCCCAACAAATGATCACACTGGAGCTGCGAGTTTGTATGAGACGAGATCAAAAAGCCAAAGCTGTAATTAATCAGTCCTTGGCTGAGATCGTTAACCTTCTCATTGCGTGCGGCGATCAGCGATACTGAAAGGTTCGTATTGCCTCTTCTCAAAGCCCACGTTGGACTGACTGATGAGACAGATTGATATCATCATTGTCTATGCGCGCCATGCTGTATCTCGTGCTTCCTGGGATATTCGTCGCGAGGTTTTTGAAGGGGAAGCACACCTTGAAACAAATATACGCATTGCGCGCCGAGCAGCACGCGGGACTCGAGTGTCAACTGTCGAAGGAGCCGCTCTTCCCAATGTCCTTCAAATCGACGCGGATGTGATCGTTGCTTGGGTATGAAAAATTCATGTCCAGTCTCTCCTTGTGTTTGTCCGTTTTTTCCGTCTTGGCTCGCTATCCTCGCCATTCTTATTCATTATTTTAGGATCGATTCGTGCTTTCCATCAGCCATCCTTCTATTGGAGCACTTTCCCACTCATCAGAGGTGTCGTGATCGTGATCGTTGCATCAATCTCCGGTATATGCGCTGATCATACCGGAGAAGTTTTGGTATATCTCATTACGTGCAACGACTTCCTATCTCCTGAGCGTCTTGCCTTGCCTTGCTTTCCCTCTCCCTAGCTCGGATGGTTGCAACACACTCTCTCCTTCAAGTTCTCCTTGGTCTCTCTTTTCTGGTTCCTCGTCTCCTTGCGCAAGACCATATACAATGCATTGATAGCGGATCAGACTGGTATACGAGTGTCGTGGGGGAGACGCCGTGTAAGACTATTTTTTGCTTCCCTCTTCATTAGAATTGAACTTTGTACCAGGTCGAACATATGAACGGCTACGCCAAATATGCAACAGCAATTGTATGACTCCGTCGTTCACCGTTGTTCATTCTGAATTGAATCTCTCTTTAGATGTCTTGGGTGCCTTGAGTCCTAATACTCCTCCGGATACATGTAACGACCAACTCGGTATGTCCTGGTATCTCAGCAGTAACTATGCTCACTTATCTGTTCCGCAACTATAGCCGACTGTTGTTGCAACTCAATCGCATTCGGACTTAGTATGTTGTGTCTCACGTGAGTGATCCTCGCTTAAAAAGCGACCGAGTCTCAACTTTTGCATAGATGTCAGCGAGGAATAGGGCCCAATGGCAACGGTATCGATGCCGGTGCGTATCTGAGGTGCACTCAGTATGGTTAATCCTCACCTTCAATACTGGAAGGCATCGGCGCATATCAACAATATCTTAAGCATGGCTCAAACTCGTTTTGCACCCCCAATACTAACAAATCGTATGTATTCTTCGCTTTCACGGTGATGGGGACTTAATTTACGATCCTCAGATTTACGAATGACATACAGTCGGCGGTATGCAATAATGGACTGAAGATCCACAACAGCTTCTATGACGCAATATTTTGGGCCAATGGACCGTGGTATGCCAGACTTCCGTTGTAATCTGAAGACATCGTCTGAATCTTACTCTCACAGGTTCTAGTATGTTGGATCTATCCTCAATGCAGTTTCCTCCATTCTGACCTTAAACTGGTAGTACGTGGTCCCGCGAACAGATGGAAAAGGTTAATGCTGCTGACGGGAATAATTCGTTCACGCATTGCGCATCGACAACCGTGGTTATAACTAGTAGTTCGCAGTCTCAGCCGATGTCGCTTTCAGAATCGACCCCGCTTTCTCAGTCGACAATGCCTTCCCAGCTGACGTTGTTTTCCCAGTCAACGTTTCTTTCCCAATCGACAATGCTTTCCCAAGCGGCGTTACTTTCTCAGTCGACGTTTCTTTCCCAGTCCACATCGCATTCCCAGTCCACGTCGATTTCCCGGTCCACATTGCTTTCCCAGTCCATGTCGCCTCCCCTGTCGAGCACGTCATCGACCACTGATTCCACTACCGCGAGCGTCACTTCAGCTTCTACCTTTACACAGAGAGAAAGTCCATCAAAATCTCTCAATGCGGGCGCCATAGCCGGGATCGTGGTAGGGTGTATCGCAGGAGCAGGAGCAATCACGCTGTTCCTCTTCTGGTGGCTGTCGTTCCGCCGACGACAAGCTGCTATCGAAGACTCGGAAACGTCGGCCCGTCCCTTCCTCGTCGGTCACGGTAAAGTATATTCCTCAGCTCCTTGGTTCTAGGACTAACGAAATCGGTTTACAGCACCATCCATGTACAACAGTCCTTCCGCCACTGAGCCTTTGCTCCAAATCGGAAGCCCATTGCTCACGAGTGGGTCGGCAGAGAGACGGTTCGAAGAGAAAAGACAGAGGGAGCTACCACCTGCTTATTCGGGGTAGACATGACCTCAGGCCTGAGAGTACATGAGGGGTGACTTCGTTGCGCCTGGTGAGCCTGGGACGAGTGGGAATAGCGTACGAGGGAAGGATGATGGATTTTGTTCCAGAAGCTTGTGTCAGCTGTGGACCCCGTACTATGAAGACGGACAAATTTTTGTAGTTGACTGTTTTCTCTGGTAAACAAGGATCACTGTTTACATGACTCCATATAAGCAAGAGGACGAGTAAACTACTAGATCAGTCAATGGATGATAGTCATTGAAGCCATGCTTTTTCTTCGACGTCGACATCGCACACGCGAAGTTGCTTTGATTCGCTCGCATGACAGCGGCATGATACCCTGCATCTCCTGCACACCAACTGCACCGAGTGCACGGTCACCAACGGACATGACTTTCACATGCAAATCCTCGGGCCACGTAAGTATCGTGTTCTCTCGACCTCACCCACCGCTTCTGAATCCCGATCGTCCCTTCCAGCCTCTCCGCCCTCCTTCCCGCACAGCCATGAACGTTCCCTCAGACAGCCTCCGACCGCGTACCACGTTTTCCTTTCTCCGCACTGTCCTCCAAAGTGCATGAAAAGGCTACACAGAAACCCCAGGAAGTACTACCAGTGAGCAGTATCCATTGCTCCCGCATACCTTCTCTGATTTTGTTCCTCAGATTTCGACCGATCTTTATTGTTGTAATCTATTGTATGTGCCATCTATCTTCCCGACATCCTTTCCTCTAATTTCTCTCCTGTGTATCATAGGGAAGTACGAGCTTCTTGGAATGTTCTTACTGTGAATCGTGAGAAGCGCAACGTGGACTATTTAAGGGCGCTTCCTCGTTTCTTCAGTGCTACCTACCTAAACGGTTGAGCTCTTGCTTCTGTGGTCTCGAATGATACTCCTTCCTCTGCTGCTTCTTTCTTCGTCTCCATCTAATCCCGATGAAGAACAGATGACTGTCGTAACCAACTCACTGACATTGTGTTCAACACATGTTATCAAAGGCACAGTCAATCATAAAGGTAAGTGTCTCTTGCATAGTTGCGCAGGACTCACTGAAAAGAGGTGTCAACAGAACTCATCCTGTAGAGTTTCAATCACGGCTCAAGTATAACGAAGTCATTATCTTAACTCATCGTTCCTGGAGTGATGGCGACCAAAACTCCATTCCAACACCAGCGACTTCTCCTATTACTACAACAATGGTGCATACACCTAGCATTATTTCCCCTCCGAAGTCGATGGAAGTCAATGACATGACACTGGACAGACACAACAGACTTCAAGTTGACGGACGTCGTCTCAATCTCCCCGTTGCCTACACTTTCATCGGATGACACCGACAGCACTGCAAGCCGGAATAGTCTATCTGCACTACTACTGCACCCACTTCATATTGTCGATGTCTTCGAATCTCAGTCCCCTCCTTCCTTGCAACTCGTCATTCCAAGTCTCATAATCTATTCAAAGAGTGATCGAAGTGATAAAAATCAGCACGATGGCATACTACTGGGAAGTATGCACATGGTTTGGGCGGAACTGCCTCATGCGGAAAGGACAGTGGGAAAAAAGAGCTCGAGGTTTGCTCGATGCTCGGTCAACACGCTAGCTCAGAGGTGGGGAAAAGGAAGTCCGATGAAGGGTTTGGATGCTGGCAATAGAGACGCAGACGCAACTGATAGGGAAAAGGCATTCTTCATCCCTCCGACGTGGCGTATCGTAACTGACGCTGGACTAAATCTTTGGCATCATCGCGGACAAACACTGCATAAACTTGGGTCTTGGGAAGAATGTGACTACGGTCTATTTGCAGATTGGAGACAGCAACGAGGAGTGTGATGAGAGGCGACACGGTGATGACGACAATATACTGTCTTGGGTGCCTACAAGAGTGATGACGAGCTCATGGCTATCCGTTCCCGGGGCAGAGTACGAGGTAGATTATGAGTTCGGAATTGGAGGGTCGCTGTGTTTTACGCCGTTGATAGGATATGAAATGAGCAGCAAAGGTGACTTGGAGTAATGCCGTTGTGCAAAGTGGAAGATATCGGGCTGTGGGCTTCGTCGTTATGTAACATGGTACTTCGGGCCGGTCTCTCGAACCTTTGATTCAGTCAAACGCTCTTTTCCTTCAACATCCCAATGGCTGCATTCTGGTCAGACGCTCGAAATGTTACTCTCCACCTAGATACAGCTGAGGCTTCGTCAAATGTAAAAGACCTCCTGAAACAATTGGAGGAACTACCCTTGGAATTACTGGACAAAATTATGAGATCTTGTGCGGTCTCGTGGGGCCACGTGCGATCTCACGAGACCACGTGCGATCTCACGCGATCTCACACCAAAAAAATTCGGTCGGCACAGCCATTTGGTAGCTCACCTACCATAAAAAGACAGCGATAAGGTACAGTCAGCGAATCATGTCACAGTGGTCACAACGGCCAGACCGGACAATCTCATTACTTTCCCGGCAGGGTGCTATGAAAATCTTCGACATTGGTAAAAGAAAATAATATATAATTAAATTGAATTTATTTTTATTCCTCTGAGGTCTTGTGAGATCTTGCACTGCTGCCCAATGCCCCCTAGCATGCAGAGCAAATCTCAGCCACTCCCACTGTCCGCTCTCTTTCATAATTCTCAAACAGCCCATCGATGTCCCAAACCTGCACCACAGGCCGATCCTGCTAACACACAATCAGCAGCTGGTCCCACAGCAGTATCCACCAGCATCCAAGCCCCCATCCCACGACGCAATCCGGTAGCCACTACATCACCTCTTTGCAGGCTCACCACCGCCAGTCTGCTTCAGGAAAACACCCCAAGGCCCAATACTCAGGCGGTCACTCTTTCCCAACCTTTCGTCAGACCAGAAACGTCTGTCGCTGGCCTGCTATCCCATGGCTTCAACTCGAACGCGTTCCTTGGAACGCTTCCCATGTCATCGAGAAACACCACCTTCGTTGGATCCAACATGACAGGGCGTAAGAAAGCATCCGCCATGCAAATGGCATGGGGACATGGCGAAGCACCTACATGTCACATCCTCATCTATCCCTTTCTCAGTCCGGAGCATCATCAACAAGCCATCAAGGACGCAGATCCTAGCATTCAAACCGGATACCCACTCCCCCAGTCTGACATATACCATCTCGAGCATGTCGACGTCGCACCGTTTCGGGAGCACATGCAAAAGCTTGATCTTTGCATCACCTTCTACACCAATGCTAACGACAATTACAGGACGATTCACGATAAACTTCTCACGCATAATGCAATGGCTGGGAAGCCCCAGATCCCCGGCCTCAAGACTGACGACCTGGCTAATCTCAGCTTTCAAAACATGGGCTGGTGTTTCCTACAGCTCATGTCCCGCAAAGGAGATCCGTCTCTTCTCATCGTCAACAAGAAAATTAATGAGGGTCAGGCCACAATTGACCATTTCATCCGCCATGGAAGCCTGGAGTCCAAGTTTCTGCCCAAACATGGCAAAAATCATTCAGCTGTGCTCGGTCAGTTTACCCTGGTGATTGGTATGTCTGACCACACAACTACCTGACTGCAGGCGATATTAACTCGCAGGAAAATATTTCCAGCTCTGACCCGAGGCCCCATCTGCCACAATCTCCAAAACAGGAACTTGTACGTGGGCGATTTTGGACCGCAAGGAATGCCTGACATGGTAAGAGGAGGAATGCATGCCTGCTTCTCAGAGCGTGCAATGCACAATCTCTTGTTCGTCATGTGACAGCGGGGCAGCAGTTTTGATGAGAACTCCTTGCCCTCCCTACGTGCATGCAGAGGCTTGCCACCCAATCATCTTGCCCCCGAGCTGACGATTACGGCGGGAATCCCTCATTGTCCCCAACTTACCGATGACGCCACTTCACTGGCGGAAGAACCACAGGTATGTGACCCTGTCACAATTAGAGTGTGATGTGACTGACCTGATGGTGACCCAGCCGAACACACAGTCCAACAAGCGGCCCGCTTCTTCCAGGTCACTGCCACCTGATCGACTTGGCATGTGCCCCCTTTCACCGATTGACTTGTCCAGCCAACTGCCCCCGCTGCCATTGCCCCCCCCTTATTACGCCGGAGAAATTTGGCCACAACCTCGTGATGCAGAGCGGGCACAAAGTCAACCCATATACACCTCCTGCCTGTCGGAGACCATGATCTCCCTCCTCCCCGACACAATGTGCCTGAAGGGACCAAATGTCGAATCTCTCGCTGATGCAGTGCTCGAACTCTGTAGATTTTACGCAACGAATGCATGGGACAAGGACAATGAGATGTTTCTGCAGAAGATAGAGGGCCCTCTAGCACCCCAATTTCCTTCCTCCAACATCCTTTGTGAAAATTGGGATGAGCTGGCAAAATTTGGGAGCATGAAGATGATCATACTCCAGAGCTGGAGCCATGGCGACAGTATCAATAAAATGGTCCTCAGGGAGGCATTGAAGAAGGCTCTTGAAAATACCAATCTATACACTTCCTTGCCTGAACAACTCCAATTACTTCACAGCTACCTTTCGCATGAGAGATTGCACCGCGATGGAAACTTGTCTGTGGAGAGCACAGGGTCTCCTGCTTGCTCTCTGCACTGTTACCTTCCACATGCTGCCGCTGCCGGTGTCTCCGTTTCTCTTTCTCGCATTGTTGACTCCACGAGGAGGATTGGCAAAAGTCTTGGATCTTCTAACAGGACCCGTCATCAAGGCATTGGATCCCGCTACCGAAGATTTCATGCAACCTTGGCTCGGTCCTAAACTTACAGACCCTCTGACCTTGGAACCACCTCATTGACATGAAAGAGATCAGAGGTATCTGTGGGTTTCACATTTCTGTGATCCTCATTTGACCAGTAAGTCCAACACGCTACACCACACTACACAATCACCCATGAAATATCCTCTCCCCAGCCTTACGATGTCGGTTTCAAGAAACCTGACCCGGAAAAGTTACAACTCCAAAATAGGTTGGTGCTGAAGCTCATTCTATTGTCCCATCCTGATGGCAGACCAGAGCAATGGATTTAACGCCATGCGGGAGGGATTTTCTTACAATTTTGGTCATGACAAATACATTGGAGGCCTGGTAAGTTCTGCAGCTGTCTTTGTGCCAGTAACATCGGTGAACAGAGATTATCATAGCCTTCGCTATTCCGCCGAGAGCTACCCCAACCAGAGAATCTCTTGTTGTATCTTCACAGGATGTATGATCGCAGCATCCACTCAGCTCAGGACCTTCTAGACCTTATCCAGTTTGACCATGGATGCGTCAGGACAGATGCCTTTTGCTCAACACCATGTGATTGGGGTTATGGGACACAGCCCAATGGTGGGCATCTCCCCCTTTATGAATGCATCACCCGAGCCATCACTGATAAATTGCAGGAAATACTTTGAACAAGACTTGGACCGCCGTGGGCCACTGCTTCCTGGTGATGGTGACCAGTCTGCCATATATGCCTGCAGCACCCGAGGAGAAGATCAAGGTGCGTGCATCACGCTTATTTTAGGTTCGCAGATATGTGATTGTCCTCCGCCCGGTGGTTCTTGTAGTTCATCTTGCATGCCCCAGATGAATTCCAACCACCTTCTCAAGTATTTTGCATGAGCACTTGCTTCAATATCATCAGGCTCAAGCTCGACATGAAATTATGCAGCCTTCTTGCTGGAGAGGCAACAGCACTCTTCCCCAATTTTGAGGCTTGCTTGGACTTCTGGTTGTTCGACGATGATCGAATCATTATGCTCATTTAGTCATATTGCATTATATCATGTCACACAACCAGTCCGTTGGTCATGTCACATCATATTACATAACCGCTTTGGCGAAATATTGATCACGATATTCATAAATCTGAATGCTAGCATGCTGAACACAATCATTGGAAATGAAGGATGAGCCTAAGTACATGGGCCTAGAACTTAGTATGGTGCCTCCCACTCTGTGACGTCCTTGTAGTAGCCCCCAGCTGTCGAGAGGGGCATTGCACGCTCAGGATAGTTCCCCTCCTGTGGATGTGTGTGTCAACACACGTGGCAAACAGGGTGCACGGCCAAAAGTTACGTAGAAACTGTCACAGTAAAAAGAGGCAAGGTCTTGCTCCAAAGATGTCACCATTTCCTCCATGTATCTGCTCTTGTCCAACAAGATGGATGCAGGACAACCTCTCCATTTGCTCATAACCCGATGCATGGAGCATAAGTACAGAGCCCGACGCATCCACCCGGGTTCGCCGATACTGCGGTGAGCCTCCGATAGGTGTACCACCCAACAGCGATCATGGCGTCCAAGGGGAAAGCAGTGGCCTAAATGGACAAGATGCTTCCATATAGCTGATTCTGTATTCACATCCCTCAAATGCCTATCCAGAGACAAAAATTCCAGTCTGAACCCCAACTCGGCTAGCTCCCAGTGTATCTCAGTGGACAGTCTTCCCTGGAGACATCTCTGATGGGCGTGCCTCGCCATTTGCCTTCCACCGAGATTCCATGGGCCTCAACAGACATTTCTCCCAAACATCCCTCCAGGAATTTCAACGCTAGTTCCCTTCGATCGGTAATCTTCCCTCTGATCCTATCCCTCACGTTCGACTGGCCCACCCAGTCATAGGTGAGGATTGCCCTCCACATCTGGTGGCTCATTCTGGTGGAAGTGTACGAAGGCGTTTGCATGGCCAGCAGGCCCGGTCGGAGACGCAGCCAGGTACTGAGTGCGCTCATCCACTTAGTCCCATCTGCTATGGTGGCAAATAGATCGGCCCGAGGAAAGGCGAATGGTGCTGCTGGGACATTTATACGTTCCTTGTTTGCGTCGACAGAACTAAGGCCCACTTTCCATGCCAGGCAGATGTCCGGTAAGAGCTCATGAGTAATTAGGGCAAAACTGTTGGGCTTCTGGGGCTTCAAGTTACCCTTGTGAGAATGGCTCGCATGGTTGTCTATGTAGTCAGTCAGAGAGCTGTGTCGCTTATAGTGGATATACACTCACATGGTAGGCAAACCTCCCGGGCAGGAGACAACTGCACACTCCCATGCTCTGGTACCCAAGAAGCTTCTGAGCGAAGCTCTCCCGGACTCCACAACAACAGATTTGGTGCCCCGAGGTGGGACCTGGTAAACCTGTTGAATGCCAGGTATTTTTCCTCATCACCAGCGCCTCCTACATAAACTGAAGGGAGACGAAGGGGACAAGGTCCCATACGAAGATGGCCCTCCGCTGTCTTTAGCCTTCCCACTGCATCGATGTGTGTGTGGGGAAGGGTATTGAGGGCTCGCAGGAGCCACACCGGCACTCCTGCCCGGTGAAATTGCTGTGCCACACCGATGTCTGTCGTGACGCAACTGACCAAGTCCGCGTCAGCCTTGGGAACGTGCTCTGATACAGGTGCAAGGGATGAAGGGCAAATGGTACCAAAGAAGAACTTGATGGCTTCAGCCTCAAGTATCAGTTGTTGCGTTTCAGCTACGCACAAACACAGCCTGTGAAATGTGAGGGGCAGACCATCCAGGCATTCCAGAAACATCCTTGCATATCCTAGGAGTTCATCCGCCCTGTTAGCTCCTGCTTTGGCAGCCTCATCTACATGGGGAATACCCTCGCAACCACTGAGGATTGCCCAACAACGTTGCTGGAATACGCATCTACGTTCTCTGCGCCAAAAACCAGGCCCGTGAATGAGCAATGACAGGTCCAGTTCTTCAAAATCTTCCTGCAACAGGAGCTCAAACAAAGGAACGTCAGGATCAGAGTCATCCCTAGGGCACAGTCGCATGCAAGCCAGGTGAGGGCGTGTCCGGCAATAAGGTTGGGGCCATGACAGAGGGTCGTCAACACCATACCTAAAATCTTCCCGCATCCACATTTCTCGGTTCACACCAAGTGGTGGGGAGTACAGGCCAGTACAATTCGGAGAGGTGATGAATATGTTGTCGTTGACGAGTGCGCCGTGCAATCCATCCCATGCCCGTAACGCTACAAAGGCCATCATGGACACCTCAGGTCATGTTCCAAAGAAAAAAGGGTCTGAAACAAACTTACGCTTGTGTGGCTCGGCAAGCTTGAGTAACAGCTTGGGATCATGTCGTATCGTGTCTGCCAAAGACGCTTGGCCCAAGGAGGCCATCCTGCAAAAGGACTTTGAATGAGCCACGGTCACAGAGGCGGTTATGGTGTAGAGGCAAAACGCAAGTCAAGGAATCGGGCGGGGCGACAGTTCCACACTTCAAATCTCGGTGATGCCCACCGACCTACGTCGAGGTGGGCATTCTAACAACGACACTATAGGTCTAGTCGCTACAAAATGCTTCCATGGGAGTAAAAGCCAGACCCAGTGATCCGATCGATCTCTGGCTCCATGGAAGGCCCCTTGAGAGCAATACTCACTTTGACCAGCTCTTGTGGGGGTTACGGAAAAGTGTGTTCCAAACAACCATCAATAGCATGGAGTGGAGGGTCATGGATCTGTCCTGTTACCTAAGCTAAAGTTCAAAAGACTCTGCTATTTACATTGTGGTCTTTACGCTCACCCATCGATGTCACAGATGAGTCCCAACCCGGTGCTGCTCTGGGTCTACAGGGCTGCCATTGTCGTAGCTGATACTTGGTCTTGGTTCTTCCCCTCTCACAGGTCCTTGCCTGCCTCGAGAGTGTGTATTTTGTTAGACATAACTGCCGTCCTGATCTGATCAGCGACTACTCACAGGAAGTGGATATTGATGCCGAGAGAGACGAGCAACTGCTCGCCTGTTGCATGTCTGTCTCTGATGAAGAGTGGTCACCCTCATCTAGTTGGGACAAATGTGCAGTGCGACTCAGCCCCGATGTGGTCGGCAAGCTGGTTACCTGCAGCGAAACGGGTTGGTCGCCAGAAGCACAGGCCCAGGAACTTGTTTGCCTTCAGACCAACATCCCGGTCCCAGCCGTCCGGCGAGTGCTCCCCATGGATGACCTGTGTGTGCTTGTTATGGACTACATACCTGGCCACACTTTGTCGACTGTATGGCACACCATGTCGATCTGGCAAAAAATCAGTACCGCCGTTACCTTACGTCGATATGTTCACGAGCTTCGCTCCATCCATCACCCGAGGGGTGACATACCTGGTCCCTTAGGAGAGGGCCGGGAGCCACTCCCATGTATCTCGTCGGTCCTCTTTACAGTTGAACGGGGCCCCTTTCCCTCCCAACATGACTTCATTCAATTCTTCCACATGGCTAAGGAGAAAGCCACCTGGCCCGGTGGTGTTGCGCTGGTGTGGCCTTCACGAAAGGAAGCTGGCGCGCTGGTATTCTCACATGTTGACCTTGCTATGCGCAATCTCGTGGTTGGGGATGATGGGCAACTATGGTTGATAGATTTTGGGGAGGCCGGGTTTTATCCACCATGGTTCGAGTTTGTTAACATGCTAGGGGACCAAATCGTCGCTGCACAGGGTAAAGAACATGATGCGATCTGGTGAGCGCTGATACCTTTCATATGTGATCCGTACATCGAGTTGTATAACTACATAATGACTATACCTCCATACTGCCTGTAACATAAATCATATACATACCTTTGCTTGGTACCCATCAAGGCCATCAGACCATGTGGAGCGCAAATCATCGGTACTATTGTTACAATTGTGGTCATATACATCTTGTGAGACTGCTAATCATGCCAACACATGTCAACTAAACTATCTAGGTGCCAACATCGAGATCTTCCGGTGCAACAATGCACTGCTCCTGCATGGTGAGCTCCTTCACTTTGCTGACATAGGCGTCGGCCAGAGGCCTCCAGGATGGGTGTAGAATTGAAGTGTGCTGCAGACAGAGCAGGGCCTGGAAACACCAGCAGCAGCAACCTACACCATTCGTGTCCACGCTACTGGTATCGAGACCCTTTGCCACGAAGGCGTTCAGAACATCGGTGAACGTCGCCGTCAAGGTGCTGAGGAGGGGCAGGGTCAGCTCAGTGATGAGGGCCTTGCAACTAGGAGCGGTATAACGCCCCTGACAACTGAAGAAGACAAGGTCAAAGAGGCGTCAGGCTCCACAGGACTGGCTTACCAGATGAAACCTTTCCAGCCATTGTCGACTTGAACCTTCTGCAGGTCTATGATGATCCGATGCGTCGATGATGGTGTGTAGAAACACAGGTTCCAGTGGACAACGCTGTTATAGGTTGGTATGGCCACCAGGTCGCATTGCATGATTAGCTCAGATAGACGGGCAGGCTGGACCTTATCGAGGTCTATGGCACCGAACGCCTGAATGACCAAAAATCAAAGGGTGTCTGGAGGCAGGGCAAGCGGTATCACTCACTGGGGTGGACATTGAGAACCGATCTGCAGGACCCAGGGAGAGAAGGCGAGCCATATATGTGGTAGTGAGGCCCCGTCCCTGGCAGTCAGCTGCTGGGACTTCTGGTGAATAGGCTTTGAGGTGGGGACACCGAGGCGAGAACATTCATACCAAGATATGACATACACTATGACGAGGTGGCGCCTCGAAATGTGCTGGTGGCATCGTGAGGTCAATGGAATCGAATGGCTGCATGACAAGAGAGTGATAACACTGACTTGGGTGGACATGGGCTTCCGGTGGATAGGCTTTGCGGTGGGAACTCCAAGGCAATAACTACCGTTCCATGTCGCCGCGAAAGGATACATCCCTGGCTGTCAGCTGTGAGGTCTTCTTGTTGAATATTTATATAGGCTTTGTAGTGGGAACACGGAGGCGATAACAATGGTACCATGATATGACCTAGGCAAGGACCACACAGCGTCTTAAAAGTGGTGATGGTGTGGAAGACGCATGCACGCTGAGCTTGCACACTTCACTGTGGGGTGCCGGGGAGGGCGGAAAGAACCACGCTTTCTGATCAGACATGGTAAAATGAATCCATTTTCTTCCTCCATGCGGATGGAACCGTATTAGCCGGAGTTACAAGGTAGGGACGGTCTGTTGGTGGAGTTGGTCAACAGATTGAGTAGCTTAATACCCGGCATAGAGGAGATTGGGCAACAGGAAGCGGATACAGCAGACGAGAGGCGACCCAGACTAGCAAGGCAATTGTTCACTTCAAGCATGGGAATGGCCCAGGCCTTGATTCCTCTCGATCACATGTGGGCATGATGTGACCACCTGGATGCATGGTCACAAATGTCACAAAGCGGTTGTTAGGCACCTCAGGAAGCACCATAGGAAAATTTCACTCACCAATCGCAACCTGGCAATGTCGGAAGTCCCGCACGTCTGTAAGTCTCCATCGTTGAACTATTGTCTTACAATGCAATGCGACGTGGGAGGGACCGTAGCCGTTGACCCGAAGCCAATATATGGAAGCTAGAGCGTTCTTGAGGAATTCATCGCACGGAGGTGCACCGAAACACTCACACAACAACAAAGCCTTTATTGCTGCTACACGCCATTTGCCGTGAACTCCTCTAGAGTTTTGGTTTTTGCCGTTGCCACAGAAGTTTAGGCTCATCAACGCACACTTGTCGCTTCCTGGTGGGCGTCTTGACATATGTCAGCACCTCTCAATCCTCTTTGCCTGTGATGGCTTACTCCCAGATGATTACTGATTATCGTGGATCAGTGCAACAGGCTGCAGAGTTGAAGCTGTTCCAATCCTTGCCCTTGCATAATCGCACTTGTCTCCTAACGCATCCTTTGTCTGCCTGCCTGGATGAAGAGCAAGACGTGCCAGCTCAAGGGCCAAGTGCCGCCATCGCAGTGACCACTCCGGCTTCCTGGACTGGCTTTCGGACTCTAATTCAGGTGAGAAACTGATCAAGTAGTATGTTGGGAAACCTGGTTCTTATGGCTGATCCAGGATCTGGCTTGTGCACTACCATCTTATTATCGAAAGGGGATTACCAGACTACCCAAGGCTCATGGGAAAGCCATCACGCACCTGCAACATGCAGAGGCACAAAAGCGGGTCGATCTCATTGAAGCACTCATAACATGGCGACTGGTCGATGAGCTCTTACGGTGTCGGGGCATAGACGATGGGGAGTTTAAGGTTGATTATTCAATTCAGTTCAAGCTGACAGTCAAACTTGTACAGGTAGGGGAAGCACTTCGCCAGACAGTCAGTGACTTACGGTATTACATGTTGCAGTGGGTCGCACGATTAGCGGATTGGCCGGTTGTGTTGTTGCAAGCCACCACTGCCCAGGAAAGCATGATGGCAACACTCAAGCCCCCGCTTCTGAACAGCTTGACCAACCGAACAACCGAACAACAGCAGCTCTGGGTGGATTTGCAAGCTATATGGTCTTGGAATCGGAGTGGGCACATGAGTTACTGGCAGAAACTCCTTCACCTCATGGAAGGGGTAGCATGGCAAATTCGTTGGATCTGACGAACCCATGGTGACCCAGTAGAGTATGCGAACAAATTGCGATCGTGAGTCCGCTGTTCTCATGCCCCGTTCATGCTGATTGGCCCACTTGACCTAGCTTCACGATTCAAAATGAGATGAACGATATCTGGGAACAAGTCGAGGCGAGTTTGAACACGTCTGGCCCCAGGAGTAAAGACTCGATGGCCACTTTGTTGAACTGTGCCACTATTTCACTGCTCATACTATTCAAGTGGTCACGGGATGCAGCCCCCCTGCCCGTTCAGTGCTTGATGGTATGGATCTCTTCTTCGATTTTGCGGGCCAGACTGATGCATGTGTTCCGTTCAGTACTCCAGTTTGGTTGATGATCGAGACAAGCCCCCAGTACTCCATAACGTTGAGTGCAGATTTTGGTCCTTGTTGTTGGCGGTTTCTGAGGGATCAGTGTCCGCTGAGAGCGGGCTTATTCTCTTTCTCAAATCGTATAGGTCAGAAATACAGGCGGCCACGCAGCCTAACCGTTTGAGGCCCTGGTTTGAAGCCGATGTTCGATTGAAACCACCCAAAGGCGGGCAAGGCTCCTCCATCGAGACCGCCTCAGAAACCCCTCAAGAGGAGGACAAGAACGCTATCGCTGTTGCACCCATTGGTGAGGAGGAAAAACCCGAAGTATTGTCGCAGCGATCTTCACCAACCTCTGTAGTAGCGGCGATCGACTTTGGAGACGACACTCAAGAAGACCCAGCTGCCAAGAACCTGGCCACAGTAGCCGGACTTCAACCCAGGAGGCAGAAACTGACAGAGACACTGTTACCGTCGCATGACGAGGATGGCGACGTGCAGCTCCCAGAAGAGAAGCTGAAGAAAAAAAAGAGTAGGAGGAACTGGAAGAAGACCAAGAGCAAGCCCATGATCAGTGAGGACGAGTCGGAGGCATCCGCTGTGCCAGTCCCTCGGAAAATCCATGAGCTAAACAGCCAATCCAACCCCAGTGAGAGCAAAGGCACATATGTCCATATACACAAGCCACCTCGTCTCCGGCTGACGAAGGCAGAACTGGCCAAGCACGCTGAGAAGGTCAATGATGACGAGGACGTTGTCTGGAGGACGAGCTATTTAGAGGTCAACTCAACAAGAGGGCCTGTAATAGGGTCTGTACCGCACCCTAAGCATACTTGGCATCCTCAAGTCCATGTAAGCCCACCAGCTTCACACCACCCAAGGTCACCCAGCATTGATTGCGAATACATTGAAAGGGCCGAAGCACCGGTATACATCGAAGTTTACAGTCCTACCACCGAGTGCTGGGAGAGATTTAGTGTTGATTGCCTGAAGGCATCGGTATGACATTTCCATTGGCTCATTACTGGTAGGTGCTCACCTCTCAATCACGCAGGACCCCTTTGATCGCGATATTATGAAATCTCTGCTTGCCTGTAGAATGGACTCACCTGGCAAACATCCCCCTCCCTGGGTCAATCGCACGGACGGGTCATCACAAATTGCCCACGTGCGGTACTCCAGTGATTTAAACATTCAGCCTTATTTTCGTGAGAGGAGTGTCCTGGTGACCAGGGTGCCCACCGACAGGCACAATTGGGGATGGAACGCCTGCACTGCGTGGGAGCTGGGGGACTTGGATACAGAGATTCCTGTGCACGGTGCGTTTCGCAGTCAACTGGTTCGTCGTCGAGCATACCTGATACCAGTGTCTGGAACAGAGCCCATATGGCACGTAACTGATGCCACCCCTGATTCTGTGTTGCTGACTGTGGAGATCTCTTCTACCCTTCGAACGGTCCTCCGAGAGGGTTCAAAAGGACGCACTGGGAGAGTGCTGAACGTGCTTACCCTGCCAATGCCCGATACCACGTTGCAGAGCCCATTCTTTCAGTAGGTTACTGTTGTATGATCTTATGACCCAGCCTGACCCAATTTACAGTCAGGCCGCCTCGCATTTGGAGGCATGTAAAGTCACCTGGTCAATAGGGACTGATCTCCTTGCTGCTCCGTTCCCCGCTGCTGCTCTGTCTTGGGGACTGGCTACTGTAGCCAGTGCAGTGACTCCCCCTCACACTGACTATGGAGGATTGGCTGTGAAAATACACTGTCTGGTCGGTAGGAAACTCTGGTTTATAATCCGGAAGAGGGATGAGCCTAGCGAAGCCATGAGTTGGGATACATTTGTTCGCGACTTCCAGGCCGATAGCAAGGTCGACCCAAATGTGTATGAATGTGAAGTGATAATTGTCGAGCCAGGCTCTCTTTGGTGAGTGCGTTTGACTGGGCTTCCACCATGTGCCCCATGACAATTCTGTCGCAATCTCATCCAATGACATTCAAACCAGGTTTCAACGTCCAAACACTTTACATGCTGTTGTTATGGAGTCAAACTGCCTAGTGTTCGGGCAACATTTCTTTTCATCATCAGGTATACGTTCGGTCGTCATGGGTTGGATTCACATGACGTTCTTGTGCTTTGCCATCACCAACGTAGAACACCGGGACATGAGGGTGTTGTTACTACGCCTGATGGCATACTGGAAAAAGGTCATCACTGATGGCGAGGACGTTGAAGGTTCGTGGTGATGACTGACATGCTGCTGGATACTTGGTTTCTCATTCTTGCCCACAGACCATGATGGCCATGTGCCCAACATTACAAGCCGAGTGGGTTTCCTAGACATCTGTGCCCTCGGGAACCTCATTATTTACCTTCACGTGCTCTCTGGTCAACAAGATCAGTACTGGAATGATCTTCGTTTCGCTGTCGCCCAGTATTGGGAAATTGTGTCCTGGGCCAATGAGCGACTGGTGCTCACTGGCCTAAACGAAACTGAAAAGGTTTATGAGGTTCATGTGGCATTCAAGTTGTCTGTGTTGCAATTTGGAATTGGGTTACTGGATTATCATGACTCTCTCAAAGGAAGCCAGTTGTACAAAGCAGTGGAACCTGGTGAAAGATTCAACCGACAGTGGTTCAAAGCTGACGTCTTGACCGCTTTCGATGAAACCTTCGGCCGTGAGCTACGTCGAGAAGTCGGCAAGCAAGATTGACAGCAGGAGGCCCATCTCTTTTGGGGACCGCCGTTTCGAGTGGTTTCGGTAAACGGTGAGTAGCTGTAATGAAAATTGGAGCAGTCGGCTAACATGGCTCGCAGAGATCCCTGAAGAAATATCCATCCTCACCTATGCCGAATTCGCATGGCAGTCCGCCCCTGAATCTGATCTCTCATCCTTAAGCGACTTGTCGGGGGATGACGCAGGAGGCCCTTCTCAGATTGGTCCTTCTCTGATTCTTGTCAGTCCACGGGGGAAGAAAGCTTTGCGCAAGAGTAGGGGATATAAGTCTTCACCTGGAAGTAGCAAGGACAGTGACAAATCAAAGGATGAAGCACTTGGAAGTAGCAACAGTGATGAGTCGTTTACATCCAAGCAAAGTGCTGCGCGCCGCAGGAGATGTCGTGCATCTTCACTCGGTAGCAGCAATGACATGGACCAGGAAGATTCGGAAGAAGATGCGCTCCGCAGTGACAGTGATGAGGATGACGGTTCTAGAGTCCTGGTCACTCATGGCACAGACGACATGGACAGTGATCAATCAGATGACGATGGACTTCAAGGATTTAGTGATGAGGACGGTGTATCGAAGGACGTGCTCACTCATGGCATGGCAGACATGGATGAGGAATTGGACGCTGACGATCCTGACCCTGACAAAGCGACCAGAGTGAATGATGCAGAGATGGCAAGTGTTGAAGAGTCCTGGAATTCGTTGTCCCCGGGTGCGCTTTTTGACCAGGAATGGGCACAATTTGAAGAGGAGCAAGCCTTTCGATAGCAGAATTGTCGAGAGAACGTTACAGTGCCCATTCTTGACGCCACTCCAGAAGATATCGATTGGCCAACTGAAGACCTGAGCAGGTCAGTGCCTCCCAAACTTGGTCCCCAGTCTGTACCTGGTCATCAGCCACCTGCCATTCCCTCAGCGCCATCGCCAGGAGCGGGATCTTCGCTTGAGCTGATGGTCGATATGGTGCTGGACCTCCCATCGTCAAGCTCATTTCCTCTGCCGCCCCTACCTCTGAAACGTGGTTTGGAACATGACGACCCAATGGAAGCATTGGACTTCAAACGGCACAAGAGCGACGCGGTAGCGGATATTCCCGATCTGAAAGATCTTATCGAATCCACCAGTCAAAGTCTCACCGGATTGACAGGACATCCTTTGCCTTCTGACCTGGTCAAAAACATAGTCGATGCAGTGGACCAGTTGCACTCGAAAGGAGGGTCAACCCCAGTCCTCCCCGACAATCAAGAAGTTCTCGACTTAAGTGAGCAGGAACCAGACATGGAAATAGAATCTGAACCGGAGTCTCCCAAGGCCGTCTCACAGTGGCGAGACGAGATTAAACAGGCCTTGCAGGCCTACTTAGAGAACCATCAGCCTGTACATCCCCTTCTAACAGATGTCCAAGGTGTCACAGATCCTTCTGATTTGTACCAGGTTCGTGACCAAGATTTTCCTTTGCATTGGTAGGATGATTAAATTCGTTTAGTGTGTCTCCCAGTCCACCATGACAAGCATTGGCTGCTTTTCCACTTGGATTTCGCCAGCCGGAGTGTGACCTGCTATGATAGTTTGAATACCGATAAAGGTGTTCTTGAAGCCATCTATTCCATAAGCCCTCTCCAAATAAACGTCCTAGCGCCATTTTCACTTGACGTTGGACCGCCCCACAGAGCTTTTGGTCGTCTTTCAAGTTGGTGGTTCTGGATCCTGACAATACATTCCATTTTGAGATAGCCAAGGTCAGTCTCACTTTCCAAAAACCAGGGAGGCTCTACCCATACTCATAATGTACAGGGAATCCCACGGCAGCAGGATTCCATCAGTTGCGGAGTTTACATTATTGCCTTCACCTGGCATTTAATGCACTATGGAGCTCCTCCGTCCTCCCGTGATGGAATGTTTTCTTCAGCAGGGTTCGCAAACTGTTACAGATTAGACATTTTATACTTTCTAGCACAGATGTTTTCCAGGGACTGTGAGAGCGTACTTTTGTAGTTACGATGAATCCAATGAATGTGTCACACTATTTGTGACAAACCATACACTTGTGACATATGGCGATACAGTTCTATTATCGGCAACCAAGCCATCCTTGGAGCTCCTGTATTGCCTATTTTCTTTCCTACCACACAAAAAAATGGCCTCAAGTCAAGAAACTGACTTCATCCCTCCTCCACTGACCTCTTCAACCAGATCTGGCTGTCAACAGCAGCTGCCTGCACGTTTGAGACAACCGGGTATGTGGCTCATTATCCTCCACTGTATACATATTGACAAGTCCACAGGTGATCCACCCTTGGTTCCTCAGCCACCTTCGCCTATAGTCATTGAGGGAAGTCCACGAATGAGGAACAGGAACAGGAGGAACACGGGCAAGGAGGCAGGACAGGTTGATTTCCTGGATCAACTGTCATGCCGGCACGCAACTGGTATGGCGCTGTTGCGACTGCAGCCTATTTACGTGTGTAATTTTGCAATCTAGAGTGTTTTACATGCATACTGAGAGATAGTGAGTGAGCGGACTAAGACTATGCGTCGACACTAATGCTACGTGGTGCAATGATATGGAATATAACTTATGGCATATGAAGCAACGGGATTCTAAACAGGACTTAGTCACAGCACTGTACCTGACGGGCATGCGTGATGAGAAGGCCAAACCATATACCCAATGCCTTAGGCGCTAACTTACAAGCACACTTGCGGGAGCTAGATAAAACCTTGAAGATTGCACTGACACTGAGAACACTTAGTGCGCTCGCTAACTGTGATGCGCCGTACCTGAAAATCCGGGGAAATCCTTAAGCGAGCTGACAGATATCACCGGCACGAGCTTGGGCAATGGGCTTCAGCCGAAGTCCGCGAGCCCGCGTTCCATTGTTCTGAGTCCCATTGTTCGAAGACTCACTTGTTGCCATGTCTACGAGAAGCCTCTGTGAATCCAAGAAAGAAGTCCTGAACGACATATGCCAGAACTGATAGTTCCATGCACCTAGACCTGTTGGTCGCTAGAGAACAAGCCCACGGGTGTCAGGAGAGCACCTCTTGGCACGCGTTTAGCGAGCTCACTATAGAAATGAGACTAAAACTGGGAAGTCCGACTCGGATGCTCAGTAAGGCAGCGGTGGCAACGTGCTACGCATGTAGGAGTCTGGGTACTGCGCGATGTTTGTAATTCTAATTCCCCTGTAGTATAAGTAGGCTGGTTACAGTAGGTAGAGGCAAGTTTCAAGCCCCCGAGTTCCCGTGCACGCGTTGAAGGCGGTACTATAACAAAGGATCAGTTTGTGACTTCGAGCTGTGCATAGAATTAGTGAGCTCACTCAGAGAAATACGAGATACCCTTTTGATAAGACTTTTGAGAACTTAGTCAGAGTGAATATGAATCAGTGACGCTGTTTCTGTTCTGTTAAGTGTGATAAGTCTGTTCGGAGAATGTGTTGAAGTGGAAATCTGTGTTCTGTTCTGTTCTGTTCTGTTCTGTTCTGTTCTGTTTCAGTCTGTTCCATGTCAGTTCTGTTCGAAGTTCCATTTCTGAATCTGTTTTCCGAGCGCTTCTGAAGTGTTCTTGAGTCGAGATAACCTGCTGGAGTTAGTTGGAGAACCCCTACATACAGTTGTGTAGCAAGCGGGCTAAGTCAGTGCTTGCCTGTGGTGTTCTTTTAGTGAGCTCACTAAAGTTTCGGCGTGTATTGCCTCTGTTTCTGTTGGGATCAGTGTCCCTTGTGTATTATAACTCAAATCTGCCTTGAAGGTTGCGTCGTGCCAGTGAATGACCTTCCTGTAAAAAGTTCCTAGACTTAGGAAGTCATTAGAGAAAGCTTAGCTTCGCTAAGAGCACTGAGAATAAGAGAAACTCTTCGAGATATTGAAGTATAGTTGGATCACATTATAAATAATCGCTCCCCCTAGAACTTACAAGGGTGATTGTAGTTTGTGTAGTTGTGTGAGTGTGTGTGTGGGTTTTTGAGGTTCACCTTTTAGCCCGCTCACTATTCCACAGGTGCCCACAGCCAGCCTCTTCAGCACCCATGACACGCTTGCACCAAAACTGACACTGGTACTTTATCAGACCTGTTTAGTGTGAGGGTCGGTGGTGGACATGTACCAACCTCTGGGGAAGAACAATCGTTAACGACTTTATCAGACTTGTTTCGTGCGAGATTCACTGGTGGGAGCAGTGAACGAAGCCTTGGGGATCACCAGGGTTCAGAAGGTGCAACAGGGAGAGGTAAGGCACCTGCTTTCTGCTTGATGTGACCTTCTGATGCACCTGATAGATAGCAGAGGCCCTGAAGACCTAGACGATGAAGAATCTCCAATGCAAAGGAATGATATTAGCAGACGTCCTGATTCATCCAATGAAGTGGACGATGTTGACTCGGCGTCAGGCATGAGCCCGAACGACGGTTCATACTTGTACACAATTGCCTTCAAACCCATCCTGATGGGCTCATTTCTCAGATGATCCAGATCAGTTGGAGAGAGATCTATATCCTGGTCCCGATGAAGAAGCTCCAGCAGAAACTGCTCAGAACGGTGAGTGGCAGAAATTGTTGTTTTTGTCTCCTCCTTGAAAAAATTGGAAAGGTGTGAACATTGTGCCTGCCAGTCGGCTTGCTGCTCAACAGCGGAACTGGGAACGATATTCTGTCCATGAAGAGGACATGTTGCATCCTGGGGCAGATGGCAAACATAGGGATGAAGAAACAGGTAAGTATTCAAGTCTCAGTCTCCAGTCTGACAAAAATTACAATACGACAAGGTGTCCCGCCTCGCAATACGTCCGGTGGCAATGGGCCTGTCAATGATGAATTTCGTGAAGAGGACAATCTGGAAGAGGGCAACCCTGTGCTGGTTGTAAAGTCCGACCGTTTTCACTTTCATTTACGCTCTTCTGAACCCAGATTGCAGGCATCCAGTCAACCTGTTCATTTGTATGGAGAACTCGGAAGGAACTGATCGCACCCAAGTGGAATATAATGTAGGCATGCTGGAGGGATTAGTGGGTAAGTCAACCTCACTATGTCATTTGCGCTGTTAATAGTGAATACCTATGTTGCAGGTGAAGCTCTAGGTGCCTTGTTGAGAGGAGGAGGAAGGATGGGACGTGCTCTGCAAGGGCTAGATCGCTCTGGTTGGATGGTGTCGACCTCCACGCGACCTTTGTGTCTTCATGAAGGTGGTGGGGAGGATTTGTCATTCAGGGAGATTGGCCTCTTGGACAAGGTCCTCGAGGAGGGCAGTTCACTATACAGGACTCCCCTGCTCAAGTGCCGAACGTGTCCCGACACAGCAAGGATACTCATGGAGACCAGGCTTTCTCAAGATGAGCTTCACGTCATATATATACACAGAGCACCAGCGTCATCAGAAGCAGGGACTGTGGAAGCTCCCGCTGAAGCGAAAGAATGGCAAATCTGGGACAAGCGTTTTCTAGGGACGATCCAACCGATGCAGAGTCTATTTGACCCAGAGTACAATGAGCCGTTCCGGGTGTATTTGGGGGTGACGATTCTCATGGCGATCGCAGAACAGATTGGCAGCGACAAGAAAGCCTTGCACATGGGGAAGTGGGGCAGCCTTCCGGGTGTGCTAGCATGGTTGAAAAGCCGGACTAGTTTACACAAGGTCAAAATCTTTGAACGTTCCCAAAAGACGTTTGAGCGCTACTTCAGCTTTTGGAAAAAGGTACAGTCACTCGGACACTATCTCAGTGCCTATGATTTCGGTGATGAGGTCAAGCCACAGGACCGGCAGTGGTGGGAGATGTTGGAAACGATTGCTACCTGGCAAGGTCTGCCATCTCGGGCAGATACTTTGACAACGAACTCATTGACAGAGGAGGAGCTCTTTCATGTCAAACAACCCCTCTCCCTTTCACATGCTGAATTGCTTTTTAAGAATGTACTGCCCAAAAACTAGTATTTAGTCTCAAATATATATTGAAATTATGGTTATTTTATCCGGTGGGCAACAGCCATCACAGAGATCAGGCATGGAGGCTCGTTCTTATAGGGGTGAACCTCTCTTTTCCTGCCACAACTGAATCATGCTTCCCAGTATGCAAGCTGTCGTTGATCTGACCCAACAACAAGGAAGGCAACTTACATGGTATGTTGTCTTTCGGTGCCAGTTACAACATTCTGACTGGATCCCGCAGTGCTATTGGTTGCTTCAGAGGGATCCCGACGATTGAAGTCGACATCATTCCAAACTTCGTAGTTCTTCTTCATCCCAGCCATCCCGTAGAAGACTTCGCGAGGTATCAAATTGTTTCGGAGGGGCTTGAAAACTTGTTGAAGACTTATGTGCTGCGGACGGGGCATACACACATCGACTGGAACTCTGCTGTCCTCTATGGACATGGAGTTTCCGTGCTTGAATAGACTTCCTTGCGTTACGAGATGTTGTATGCAGTGGCATTTCCTCACATTACACCGGACACATCCTCTCGTATACAGGTAAGCAGCACCATCCTTGAGTCCGACTTTGACTAATACTGTGGACCCCAGTTCTTCTGCAAAATTTGGGCAACACCCTTGGTATGTGGGCATGATCCAGCATCCAGTGTCTGCCATCTAACCATGATATCCAGCCGCCGAATGTAGGAAGGGTGGTTTTCCTGCCGCCGATGAATTGTCGCTCCGGAGGATGCATTATCAATGTGGATTTTAAACTTTCCGACATCCTGGAGGCCATGGCAGTCATGACCGATGCTGACGAGGATACGTATGAGTTTCAGCTGAGCCACAACTGGCTCCATGCAGAATTGCTCACAGCCATCAAGTTGGCGAGTGCAGGAACTGTGAACGATGATCTCTTAGATGAAGCAGAGTTATTATTGCCTTGATGGCTTTGCCTTCGTATAGTAGAACAGAAGAACCGGTTTCTCGGGTGAACGGTCAGACCTTCCAGTCTGTCACATCACAATAGGAATGATATTCTAACATGGCAGTTCTCGAATCGGCTGACTAGATTACATAAACATCACCCTCCTGTAGAGGTGTTACATATCACACCAGTGTGTCTGTCACATCACAACACTGAGAATCGACCTCATCCCCTGCCGGTGGGCCAATATGGCATTCAGAGTCTCTAAGCCATGAATCCAGCACACTCAACGGGCCTCCCAGGTATTGCTTGCCATTCCTGGACTGGTAGCCATAGTTTGGTTTAGAACATCAACCTCTGCAGGGCTGAGGGGGCAGGCAGGGGCCTCACAAGGCACATACGCCAAAGATTGGGTGGGTACTGTAACATGAATGTGTGCTCGGCCTGGTTGAAGAAGACAACTCACGATTGACAGGTAGTGGTGCGTCCCCATGGCCGTCCTGAAGGTGAGCTAGCACATCGGGGGTAAGAGCCTGATGACACTGTTGTAGTAGGGTAAGGATCTCCTGGTTGACACCCATGTTAGGGACAGCTGCAAGTGGATCCACAACCAGAGGGGTCTGTCGGCGTGATGTGCTCAAGGCCGCGAAAGCCATCCATGAGCTGACTTTCCAACCACATATTGTTAGGCATCTCAGATCGCTTACCCTGCAATGGAATCTTGTGATGATTCCATTCATCCGCCCACTGGCGGGCAGCCTCATCTATATCGGCAAGAAACAGGTGATGGACCAACCAGATATGTGCCGAATTTTTGTGGTCCAGACCTGTAGCTAGCCTCGAGCTCCGTGAAGAATTCGTGCCAGCGATCGGCCCAACTTCTGGAAGTCTCTACCCACATTCGCTCTCCTCTCGTATTATGAACTGAGCTATGGTACTCATTATCAATACAGGACAATCTTGAGCTACTGAATCCACTCACCGGCCCCAAATGTATGCAGTTGCTCAATACTCCTTGATAATTCTCCATCCACTGAGCCGCATACAGGTTTTCAACACCGTGGTCACCACGTAAGCGTATGGGAACCCCCCAGACAAGTGTTGCATCAATGAAAACCATGAGGACAACATACGGTCGGTTGGAGTTGCTTGCTCTGATGTTGACCACTGACACGTGTTTTCCCATCGACAAATATGTGGAGGACAATTTTCCACCGAATCAGGCCTAGAACTTGATGATTAGTAGACGATAAAAGTGACCATGGGTGGAAACGGATGGTGATTTCCATCGTGGTGCCACATGGAGTTGGCGCCAGGGACACTGTAGTTGGTCCTGGCTGTGGGTCGCCTGCCAAATTTCGGTGGCAGGGCCTTGGACACGTTTCCTTGAGGCTTCGACACGTTGTCGAGAGACACTGATGACCTAGCCTACCCAACGCTGACTTGATTTGCTGATGCCCATAGCCAGGACAACATTGAAGGATCTCTTCAACCTCTTTATCCAGCTCCTCGTCAGACAGGTCGGCCATCTGCGGTCTTGTAGGGGTGTGGATTGTGTATTCTTGGCCATGTTCATCAATGAGGGTTTGGAAGGGCGCGTTTCCGGGCTCTCGGAGGCCATTGCTTTCCTGATGATGGCTGACAGTGTGGGGGCAAATGTCAAAGAGATCAGCGATGCGAGGGGGGGAGCGATGGCTCTCCGTGAGCACCCCCAAAATGGTAGGATTTATATCGGCAGGTGGATGTCCTCTCCGTCCTGTGTATACCTTGGATCATGGCTGGAGGAGGGGAGCGTGCTTCGGAGGATCCTTGGAGATGAACAATTCTGAAGTTAATGAAGTCCTCATCACGAGAAGTCCAGCATTGATGATCGCAACATAGTCATCTGAGAAGTAGACTTGGGCCTGTGGTATGCAAATATTAATCAGAGAATAAGGTGTTGATGATAATTATTGCGACAGACCTCTGTCCAATACTGTTCCCAATAGGCAACCTCATTGAGTTGCAGCTGAATTTGGTGGGGGTCGCCATTGCCAGCCTGAAGAACCTGATTGACCGAATGGCAAAGCTCTGACCAAGACCTATTGATGCGCTCGATTTGAGCCGTAGTCATGGTTGAGGTTTGAGTTGAAGTTCAGATTCGTGGTGGTGCGAAACGGGTTTATAAACAAAAATAATCAAAATAATCAAAATAGCAAAAAAAACAAAAAACAAAAAAAAACAAGGCATTTATAGAAGGGGTATCAAGGAGAATGGCACCGAAATGAGTGTATGTTGCCCAGTCACACTCACGGTTGGCTGGGTAGGCATTGTGAATGCCCATTGACGCCTCTCCGTGAGGCAACCTCAGATGACCTCATGAAATCTCGCAAGATCCCACGGGGCCTCATGAGATCTTGCGCGACTGCACGAGATCCCGTGAGATCCCGGAATATTGTCCAGGAATTCCAAGCATAGGAACAACTGCCAGGCTGGGTGCAGAAGGTGGTTATATCTGTTAAGATAACAACAGCTCAGTCAGTCACACGAAGATGTAGTGAACAGCTGTATTAAGTATGCTACCTGTTAAGATAACAACAGCTAGATGAGTGTAGCATAAGAAATAGGTAGTGGATGATAATATGAATGGTATATGCACCTCAGTCAGTCACACGAAGATGTAGTGAACAGCTGAGGTGCGTAGAGGGGCAAACACTGTAGTTATAAGGATTGGGAGAAAGGAGGTATAGTCTAAATATAGTAAGTAGGAACATCGAATGAGAAATAATGAGAATACTGGTAGGGTAGGCTGAATCCTCAACACTCCCCCTGAAGCCTACGCCCATAGGATTCTATACCCTGGTCATCCCCATCCTCTTCAGTAACTCGGTTGCCCGTGGCTTGGGAATGCTCTTGGTGAATAGGTCAGCTAGATTGTCCTCGGACGGGATGTAATGAACATCCAGCTTGCCAAGCTGAATGCTATCACGAATCCAATGATAATCCATAGCAAAATGCTTGGATTTTCCATGTCCTTTGGTGTTCTGCGTCAGGTTGATAGCCGAGTTATTGTCACAGTTCAGACGATACAGGTGATCCTTTGACAGTTCGATCTCATCCAAAAATGAACCCATCCACAGTGATTGGCGACCTCTGTGGACTGTGGCGACGTACTCTGCTTCAGACGTCAATAGCGCAACTTGTTTCTGTGACCTTGAGCTCCATGCGACAGGACCACCTGCCATCGTGAATACATACCCCATGGTTGACTTCCCCAACATTCTATCATCGCCATGGGATGAATCCACATACCCAACAGGAGTTAGGCCATCATCTTCTGCGTTCCCTCGATGGTAGGTGATTCTATACTCGATTGTTCCCTTTAGATAGGCGAGGACATGTATAGCGCAGCTCCAATGTATGGGATGAGCATCCAAGGCATATCATTGAAGGTAGTTCATGGCGAATGCAATATCAGGTCTCGTTCCATTGGCAATGTGGTTCAATGATCCGAGAACCCCGCGATAATCCTTGTCCCCCATAAATTCCTTATCCGCATTAGGGATTGGTTGGGGTTGTGTATCCAGATTCATCAGGCTTCCAACTGGAAGCAGAGTCACTTTCGGCTTGCAGTCTGACATCCCAAAATTCTCTAGGGTTTTCAGTATCAAGTTCTTTTGATGCAACAAAATAGCACCAGTTTCTTCATCGAACTCCACGGTTATTCCAAGAACGCTGTTATGCTTCCCCAAATCCTTAATCTCGTAGACACTCCCAATTTCCTTCTGAACATGCTTGCCTTCCTCCATAGATGTGGACGCGCCAGAAACATTGTCCGTATATGTACATGTGTACGTCCGTTCAGAACCATTCTTGAGAAGGTGAACACATGGATCTGCTCGTGACTGTTTATGGCCTTGCACGGTAAGGGTGTTGTTGAGTTCATGGAACCACGCATTCCCAGCGTCCATAGTCCCATACATTGCTCTCATCATCTGCAGGATGTAGTCTCCCTTTGGATAGTCCCTGGTAACTATATCCTCGTATCCTTGTGGCAACGATACGTAGTTTTCACCTTGTGGCTCTGCATTTAGGTATGCGCTGATGAAGTCTATAAGCCAAAAATCCAGACCATGAGCAGCAACAACCGCAAAGAACATCCGTAAAGATTCATATCAGACGACTGCTGCGAATGAGTCATAATAATGGAGTCCTTTGATTTGCATGAATCCTTTGACTACGAGCCTAGCACATCGTTTGAGGAGCTCAGCTGTATCCCCATCGATTTTCTTATCGAATGTCCAGTGAGTATCAATCACTTGCATCCATGGTTCTCTTGGCACAACTCTCCAGACATCTCTTTCTTCCATGCGTCGAATCTCTGCATCCATAGCTGGCATGTCATGTCTATCAACAATATTACTGATTTCCGAAGCTTTAAGGGCAACAATGTCTTCAATGTTGTCTTCGTCAGCGAGTAGTGGAATGGTATTATCATTTGCCCAATCGTTTCCCTTTCGTTTGGCTTCTTCTTCACGTTGGGCATACTCCTTCGACTCAAGTAAGGCTCTAGTGGGCTTTGGTATGCGGGACGGATGTTTTGCAGGCGGTGGATTAACGTGTGGTTGAGTTGGAGGTGCTTGGATGGGTGCAGTTGGCAATTGGGCTTGATTGCGATCAGGGCTTGGAGGATTGATCGGTGGCTGTGAGTGATTCTCGATTGTTTCTGTGAGTGGTTCGATGAGGTCTTCGTATGCAATCTCCCCCTCATGAAGAGAAACGGTACAAGTAGAACTTAGCTCCTCGAAAATGACATCACAAGAGATGATAACCTTATTACCAGGTACGTCATCCAGAAGAATCCTGTATGAACCATGCCCTGCCAAGCCAACAAACCGTCCCTTCTGTCCTTGCGGAGATAACTTGCTGTGGCCTTTCACTGCAGGGATTTTCACATAACACATTGATCCCCAAACTCTGAGGTGGTTAACAGTTTGCCGTTTACCGGTCCATTCCTCCTCTGGAACCTTCCCTGGGTGCCTTGATGATTGCAGGAGATTTCCAGCCTTTATCGCATAGTTGCAAGCCTCGGCCCACCACCCATCAGACATCTTTGCTTCTAGGAGCAGTATTCGGACCGTCCCAAAGATGATACCAAGCATCCGTTCAGCCATCCTGTTGGCTGCAGACGAATAGGGTGCTGTGAACTCAATGATCACACCCTTTTCTATGCCCCACGTCTTCCATAAGTCATTGCGAAACTTGTTATTGCACTGGATTTTCTTCAGCTTCTTCCCTGTTTGTCTTTCTGCCATAACAGTGAACTGATTTAGTGCCTTGATGGTAGTTTCGGCCCTTCGATCTGAGATGTAGTAAGGCGTTCTCTGAGACGTCGCATCATCAGCAAACACGAGGGCATATTTCGCTCCCCCAATGGATTGTACGTGGGCTGGGCCCCAAATATCAACCATCACTCGTGCTAAAACCACTTTCTCCGGTACCACATCAGCATCAAATGGCCTTCTTCTCTGGTTTCCCAAAATGCATGGCTCGCACTTTCCCCCAGCACGTTCAGTTTTCGCAATGTTCAGACCATCCACAAGTGTTCGTTTTTCCAACTCGGTGATTCGGTCAACTCCAAGGTGTGCAAACCGCATGTGCCACATTTCAATGGGTACGGCCGCTTCTAGTGATCTCGCTGCGAGGGCAGTATATTCCTCACTACGCATCAACATCCCATTAATTGCGTATAGGTCATTTACCAATGTCGCCATGAACTGGGGTGTCCCTTTCTGGTCTACGAAGGTTGCTTGGCTGCCTCCGAAGGTGACAAACCAACCTTCTTTGTCCAGTCTGCTAATTGAGATTAGGTTGGCGGAGACATCTGGGCAATGGAGGGCCTTGCTGAGGGTAAATACGTTCTGGATACCTGCCACTGTTGACTTCAAGGCTACGGTGCTGATACCTTGTATTTTCAGAGTGGCACCAGCCTTCGACGAAGTTCCAGTTGTTTCACCAAGCGGCATGTAATGGAAAAAGCAGTCTTTGTTTTGGATGAAGTGGGTGGATGCACCAGAGTCCCCATACAACAGTGAGGTGTCTATGAACCCTTGACTAGCATTATTGACCATCATTGTTGACTTCTCTGCTTCCAGTGCCCTTTCAATAGACTTCAAGGTTTTGTCATCGATGATTGTGCTCAATGCGGTGACATTGGTGTATATGGAGCCTGCCTCAGATGATGACGCGGTGGCTAGGTTTGTGGAACCAGGAATGGGTGCGTCCCGTTTCCCTTTCCACCAGGGGGGATATTGACCCTGTCTCCCTCCCCCTAGTTTTCA